CCCCTGCCTTATCCTGTGGTTTCCTTCTCCCTGTCCAAGGATAACTAGAATCCCATAATGGGACTACTTTTTGGCTTTATCCTCCGGCCTTACCCTTTGTTTTTATTATTAAATAATTAGCTCTGAGATTAGAAAAAAAAAAATGGGGCCGCCAATGTGCAATATCCAGGTGAACTTGTGAGTATTTTCTGTGTTGATCTCAGTCCCCCCAAGTTGTTTCTTCTTTGTTGCTGTTTCTGAATTGGCCATGTGTGTGCTTTTGTGGAACTGAGGCTGTTTTGTATCCCCAAAGCTTGACCTGTGTACAGAGATGATTCTTTAGCAATTTTAGACATAGAATGCAGGGAGCTACTGAAAGTCTGGGAAGGATTCGGCCATTCTGCTCTTGGCCTCTCCTGAGGCATCATAACACGAGACCAAATTTAAAATGTCCCATTTCACTTGAGTCGGTACACTGCCTACAGAATTCTGCGGGGGACTCCTGCTTTAGTTTTCTGCTGTTATGAGAGCCCTCTGGAGTCTAAAGTATAAAGAGCTTTATCTTTCTAGGGAAAAACTGTCTCAGATGTTACCTTGTGTGTGTTTGGGGCAAAGGCTGCACAGCTGTGGCTCTTGAAGAACCCTCACTGGTTCTCTTTCCTCCAATACTCAGCTCCTGGGCAGAGATGAGGCAGTTAATTAAAGCAGGCCTTGGGTTCAATGCCTCATCTTGCCATCTCCTGGCCAGGCTCGGAATGGGCACTAAGTGACCTCCTCTGGCATCATGGTTCATGGAAGTTCATGCCAGCAGTTTGCCTTTCAGAAGAAGTGCTTCTGGCTCTACTTTTACATTCCCTTTCACTCCTATACTGATATGTCACTGTTCTGGATTACCAGGTCTGAGGAACAACTAGTGTTGGCAGTATGTAACACAATTTATGTGTCAAGGGGGCACTGCTCTGGTTTCTCCTTGGGTTGCTGGCAAATTCAGAGGCTACAGGGAAATACACTGAGTGTGAATGTTCTTGTCTCTGATCCCTTCTTTAGATGATGATGGTAATCAATCTGTTGTAAATATATACATATATGCATTTA